AATGCAGCCCCTCAGGGACTGAGATTTGGGAATCCATGATTTTGGAGTCCAGGAAAACAGTTTCTGGGTGTGGAAGGGGCGTCTGGATCCCCTCTGTCCCCTGAGGGCCTGGCGTCCCCTCTGTCCCCTCATCCCTCAATCCCAGCCACCCACACCGGGTGCAATTCCCCATGAGGATCGGCCTCCTGGGAGCATTCCCGAGGGAATCCCCGTTCAGCTGCCGCTCTCTGTTCCCAGTGCGGGTGGTACTGGGGCCCCATGAACTGGGAGGACGCCGAGATGAAGCTGAAGGGGAAACCGGACGGGTCCTTCCTGGTGCGGGACAGCTCCGACCCCCGCTACATCCTGAGCCTGAGCTTCCGCTCGCAGGGCATCACGCACCACACGCGCATGGAGCACTACCGAGGTGAGCCATTCCCGGGATCCCAAATCCCACCCATTCCCTGCTCCAGGGGTTATAAACAATCCACCCACCACACCTGCATGGAGTACTACTGAGGTGAGCCGTTCCCGGGATCCCAAATCCTTGGGATGCCATTCTCAGCTCCAGGGTATTAGAAATCACCCACCACACCTGCATGGAGCACTACTGAGGAATAAAGAGCTGCCAGTGCCTTGGAAAAAGTGGGAATAAGGAGCTGGCAGTGCCCTGGAAAGCTGGATTTAAAGGAAGTTCTGACAAATGGAGATTTTAGGGAGAATTTATTCCTGGGAAGTGTGATCATGCATTGGAACAGGCTGTGCACAGAGTCCCCATCCCTGGAAGTGTCCAAGCCCCACGTGGATGTGGCACTTGGGGACACGGTGATGCCGGTGTCCAGGGGACAGCTGGGATCTTTCCCAGCCTGCAGAATTCCCAGATTTTGGTGGAGGAGGGGGTGTCCAGGCTGGTGTGACCCACTGGGAGCTCTGGTGTCCCCAGCTCCAGTTTCATCCTGGGCCACCTGGCGGGTCAGGTGACAGCACGGGGACAAAGGGTGACCCAGGGCCTAATTAACAATCCTGTTAATCAAGGAGCAGGAACATGAAACTGCTGCCATGGAAAATGATCCCAGGGCTGGGAAATGGGGACAGCAGCACCTGGAGCTGGGAATGCTCCAAGGTCACCTTCCCTTGGGGATGTTGGGATGGAGAAGGGACACGCCAGAATATGAGAATATTTAATTTCCTAGATATCATAATATTAAATTAACTAAATATAAGAATATTTGATTGATTAAATAGAAGAATATTTAATTTATTTAATATAAGAATTTTGAGAAGTTTAACTGTTCCCAGATCTACAAAACAGAGCCCATTCCAGGAGATTTTGGCAATGCCATATTTGTCACTGAGCATCCTTCCCCTGTTGTTTCTGTGATGGTGCTGGGGAAGCTACTTTTCCAAAAATTCCTTGGAATAACTCCCCTATGCTTTTCCAAAATTCCCCTGGAATAACAGGAATAATTCCCCTGCGCTTTCCCAAAATTCCCAAATAACGGGAATTCTTTCTCTCGTGGAAGGGACCTTCAGCCTGTGGTGCCACCCCAAGTTCGAGGACCGCTGCCAGTCTGTGGTGGAGTTCATCAAGAGGGCGATCATGCACTCCAAAAATGGGAAATTCCTCTACTTCCTGCGCTCCCGGGTCCCAGGTGAGCCCGGGAATGGGATGGGCCAGGGATCCAGGTGAGCCTGGGAACGGGATTGTCCAGGTGAGCCTGGGAACCTAATCCTGACTAATCCTGATCTCCAGAATCTCCTTTTTTTCCCCCAAAAGGTCTCCCTCCGACGCCCGTCCAGCTCCTGTATCCCGTCTCCAGGTTCAGCAACGTCAAATCCCTGCAGCACCTTTGCCGCTTCCGGATCCGGCAGCTGGTCCGGATCGACCACATTCCCGAGCTCCCGCTGCCCAAGTGAGTGCTGGGATTCCCCATGGATCATCCCTCAATTCCCTCCCTCCCTCCCGGGCAGCGGGAAGGGATCTGTGAGCTCAGATCCGGGAGGGAATCATTGGCTTTTCCAGCTTTGGGGTAGCGGGATCGATGTCCTGTGGGGTTTTGGGGTGCGGTGGGAATTCTGAGCGGTTTGGGAATGAGGAATTCCCTGCTGTGCCAGAGCTTTGGGAAGCAGCTTCTGTTCCTGTGGAATTTCAGAGGAGTTGTGACTCTGGGATCCTGCTCTTCCCAGTGTTTTGCCAGGGAAGAGGCTCTGGGTGTGCTTCAGAAACACTGGAAGGTTGTGGCTCAGGGATCCGGCTCTTCCTGGTGTTTTTACTGCTGTTTTTTCTGGTTGTGTTTTGGGAATGTCAGAGGGGCTGTTCTCTGGCAATATTGGAAGAGTTGTGGTTCAGGGGTCCAGCTATTCCCAGTGTTTTTCTGGGGAAGAGGCTCTGGTTGTGTTTTGGGGATTTCAGAGGGGCTGTGGCTCAGGGATCCAGCTGTTCCCTGTTTTTCCAGGCCCCTGATCTCCTACATCCGCAAGTTCTACTACTACGACCCGCAGGAGGAGCAGTACCTGTCCCTCAAGGAGGCGCAGCTCATCTCCCGACAGAAGCAGGAGCCCGAGTCCTCCACGTAGCGGGGCGGAGCCGCCCGGCACTGACGGTGCGGGAATGGGCCGGGAACGGTCTGGGAATGGTTTTGGAATGGTCTGTGCATGCTTTGGAATGGTGTGGGAATGCCCCAGGAATGGTTGGGAATGGTGCCTCATCCCAGGATCCAGCCCTGTTCCCTCAGAACCCCCTGGGGAAGCCGGGGCTGCTCCCTCAGGGGTCTTTTACCATTCCCAGACTTTCTCTGGAGAGAACAAGGTTTCATGTTCTTCTACCGTTCCCAGCTTTTCTTGGGAAGGGGAGCAAGATTTCCTGGCCTTTACTATTCCCATCTTTCCTCAGGAAGGGCCCAACCCTCCTGCTCCTCCCTTGTTCCCATTCCCCTCTCCCCCAGGCCCCCATCCTTCCCAATCCCACCTGATCCCAACTCCTGGTGTTTTTTCCCAGCAGGAATTTGGATGGTGCCCTCCTGCCATGGTGGGGGGAGGCCGAGCTCCTGCTGCTGCTGCTCCTGCTCTTTTCCTGGAGGAGAGGGCCCAGCATTCCTGGGAAGCCAGCAGAGCAGGATCTGGAGCCCCGGCTCCTGGGAAAAGGAATCCTGGGGGAACCCAGCCCGGCCCCGCGGATCCCCGCGGAACAAAGAATGTCATGGCACTATTCCCGAGTTTTCCTGGAAGATTTCAGTTTGGATGTCTCTGGATTTTTAATTTTTTTTTTTTTTGGATCTTCAGCATGAGGAAAAACTGGATTTTCTGATCCCGCTGGATTTTCAGATCCCACCTTGGGAATTTCCAGGTGGGGGAGAGGGAGGAGAAAAGGGGGAATTCTCTGGGAAGATCCATCTGCTCCCAGGCATCGTGGCAAGGCTTTGATCCTCTCTGGAGAGCTGCAAACGGAGCCAGGGGCTGGAAGAACCCCTGGGAATAAACAAAGTGTGGAGTTCCGAGCAGCTCCACAGCTCCCCCGCTCCCCAGGATTTGGGAGAAGAGATCCAAACCCTCCAGGAGAGGCAGGAGCATCCTGGGAAAAGCTTGGAGCCGTGGAAGATGGAAGGAAGGGAGGAAGGAGGAGCGTGGGATGTGGTGGATCCAAAGGTGACGCTGCTGGGAGGTTCCCTGGAGCCCTGGGAAGGTGGAAGAGCTGCTGCTGGAATTGCTGAAGCTGCCCCTGGATCCTGCAGGGATCCCAGACCTGGGATGGGCTCTCCCAGCCTGTCCCTGGTGGATTCCAGAGGCTGGGAATGGAGTGAATCCTCCTGGAGCAGCTCTCTCCTCTCCCTGGGACATCAGGAACAAAATCCAAGAGAGTTTTGGCTCTTTCCCTGATTTTGGGCCCAAATTCCCTCCCTCGCCCCTTGGGATCCCCGGCTGCTGCTCCATCCCCCGAGCAGGAATTCCATGGGGGAACTTCCAGCTGGGAATTCTGGAGAATTCTCCCCTGCCGTGTGTCAAGGAGCAGCGTTCCAGTGCTCTGAATCCGAGGAATTGCCCCATCCTGCTGGATCTGAGGATTCCCTGGAGCCCTGGGACAATCCCAGTCCTGGAATTCCTGTGGATTTCAATGGAAAAAATTCCAAGCTGCTTTGCCACAAAAGGTGCTACAAATCCTGCCCTGCCTGCCTCCTCCAGCTGGGATTTGGAGGGGGAAAAAAAACCCCACAATCCTTAAAAAAATTCCAGGTTTCTGGGTGAAACTGAGCCTGAAAATCCATGGAAATACCTCATGGCACTGTGTGAGGGAAAACCTTCCCAAGAACCAGGCCTGCTCCAGCTTTTCTTCCCAAAAAATAAAAGAGATCCTGGAAAAAGGAAAAGTGGATCAAGGATGGATAGTGGTATGCAGGGAATTGGGAAGGTGTGAGTTAATCCAGGACAAATCCAGGGAAAATTCTGTTCCCTCCATGGGGTGATGGTGACAGCATTCCCACTCTTCTTTGGAATGGGAGAGGTTTGGGAAGGGGAGCAGATCAGGGAAAAGCAGAGCTGGGGTTTTTGGGGTCTTTTTGCCATCCTGGGGCGCTCCCAATCCCCCAAAATCCAGCCTGGGGTGCTCCCAATCCCCCAGAATCCACCTGGGGAGCTCCCAGTGTCCCAAAATCCACCTGGGGAGCTCCCAGTCCTTAAGAATCCAGCCTGGGGTGCTCCCAGTGCTCCCAATCCAGGGCTTCACCCCAAATCCCAGGAATTTCACAGGATCCTGCCTCACCTTTGGAGGAGGAATGAGCAAATTCCAGCAGCTCCCAGGGCAGGAGATTCCCAGGATTTTGGGAATCACCCTTTGGAATTAAAAAAAAAATAATGCAGCTTTTGCTTAATTTTATTTTTTTTTATCCCCCCTTTTTTTAATTTTTAATTTTAATCTTAATTTTTTTTTGGTGTGTGCTTAATTTATTCAAATAGTGGCTGTATAATTTATTTTCATAAATATATGAGAAAAGTTACTAAATGGTTAAAAAAATAATAATAAAAAAACCAAACGGACTTTGCAGGCCAATCTTTCAGATTTAATGAAAAAAATTAATTAATAATAATAGTATTAATAATGATGGGTTTTGATATGAACCACAAATGCACTTTCGGGTGTGTTTGGTTATTTTTTGGGGTGGGGAGCTGTGGGGTTTGTGTGTAAATATTGTATTTATAGGCATGTTTGGCCTCTTGTGGGGGATTTTAGGAACTGCTGGTGTGGAATTCCTGGATTTTGGGGGTTTTGGGGTTTTTTTGGGGGTATTTTTTTTTCCTACAGGGTCAGCCAGGAAGAGCTGACTTGGTGTTTGTAAAACTCATTTTTAGCGTCGATTTTGGGGTTTTTTTTGGGTTGTTTGGGATTTTATTTTTTTGCTGTGGGAGGAGTGGGAAGGGAAGAGAGAAAGGGTTTGAAATAAAAACCTTGGAAATTGTTGGATGTTTTTTGTGGTGAATTCTGAGTCCTTGACCCCCTCCAGGTTCCTTTTTTGGGGCATCCTGTGACCCCAAAATCCATCGAGCATCTCGGGGTCCCCCCCTGGCTGCTCCCAATTCCCAAAAATAAATTTGGGGGATTTCTGGGTGCTCCCAGTACCCCAAAACCCATCGGGGAGCTCTGGGTTCTTCTGGCACCCCAAAACCCATTCAGGGGGACCTCTGGTGCCCCCGGTACCCCCCTGGATATCGGGGTGCCCCTGGTGCTCCCAGTTCCCAAATCCCTGTGGGCTGGGCTGAGACCCCAAGGGCTGGAGAAGCCCAAACCCCCCTCCTGACCCCCAAAATCCCCCTCCTGTGTCCCCAAATCCCCTTCCCTATTTCCCTCCTCCCAAATCTCCCTCAGGCCACGCAGAGCAAAGGTGGAATTGGGGCTGGGGGGGTTTGGGGGGGCTCTGAGTCCTTGGGAGCTTCATCCCCTTCATCTCACCCCCCCCTCCTCCT